AATGCAGTATGATGCGATGATAGAACGAGAGTTTGCGCAATAATAATTTGGTATGACGCTTTGAAAGTCTTAATTAATTGCAAAGGATAATCCAATATCAGTTTGTATGTTTCATATAAACGTGGTGAAGATACAATGAATTTGAACAGTTCAAGTGTAACACAAGATAAGCCTTACAAAATCTATTCGAAGAAGCCGATCTCTATCAAAATTGTTTGAAAGATATATGAGAGGAAGAACAAGAACACATCAATTAATAACAGTCGAACAAGAGCAGAGAAAACCAAAGTGTAGACCGAATACACAAAAGCAAGCAAACGGGTGAAGTGGGGCATTAAAGACAACAAGTAGTAATACGTGGCGTAGCCAACCACGTGTGGTGCTTGAATGAACTAATGATGCCTTTCTACCTGTCGAATGCTTGATTTCGAATTCTAAATACAACACATTCGTTCGTGCTTATCTAGCACTTCTCGATTCAATTGTGTTATTTCTGGGATTCTTAGTTCATACTATTATTCAAATACTTATAATTACTACACCTCGGCAACTGAAAAAGCTGTAAGACAAGAAACTGTGAAAAAAACTATATCATACAACGAAGAAACTGGTAGTGAAATATAATAAACCAGAGAAACCAGTTAAGAACAATGAAGTATATTAATCACTGAGATTCAATAATAGAGGAACATGTGGTAAAACACTTTGAAGAACTATGAACTAGGTCATCTCTATTGAATCCACCGGACATCAAAGCAACACACACAGACCTTAAGTAGATGTCACTTCACCAACGATTCATCAAATCGGGATCGCCATCAGACAAATGAATAGCAGAAAAGCAGTAGAACCTGACAATATACCAGCTGAAGCACTGGAATAAGACACGGAAGAGACATTAAAGATTCTTCGCTTTTTTTCAGGATGAATTTTGGCACGCGAAAAATGTCGGACTCTTCCGAAGCTCCCCACTGTTTCGTTTCAACGACCCTGAACGGCCTAACAAGAAGCGATAATTCTGTATTTCACTTGCCGTGTTGGCGTAGCGGCCTGACTGTGCCAGTAAATCACGTCACTAGGGATAATCATTAACCAAACAATTGAACGGAATTCGTCATCATACATCAACTCCCTTGACTATAAGAATTCAGTTCTTAGTGTATACAGGAGGATTTTATGAAGCCTTATGAGACAATATGTAGCGAGTAGCTTGAGAAGATCGTCAACATCATCCAGAATTCATATGATGGACTACACTGCAAAGTCGTATATAAAGAACAGCTGACAGACTCATTCCAAGCGAAGACCGGAGTAAAACGAAACTGCTTTCTATTCTTTTTCTTTCTTCTGGTGGTTGAATGGGTTATGAAGAGCTTTGATGCACCTAGACTATTCGAACATTTTAGCTAACCTAGCTCTTCTGTCCCACACCTATCAACAAATGCAGGTGAAGACAACCAGTGTATCAGCAGCCTATGAACCAGTAGGTCTAACATACACAAGGTAAAAAGCAAGATCCTCTTTAGTATCCCGGGATCTGACTTCAAGTAGATCATGTGAATGATTGTTATTGAAATATATATGTCGTCTATCCTGGTTTATAATCATCGACTTAAATCGCGTCAGTCAATAGCGGAACTAAATAAGTCATATACGAAAATGAATGTTGAATACGTATATTTCATACAATCTTCGATCCAGACGAAATATCGGAGAAGTGAAGAGAAAAGAGCGAAGCGAAATTACGCTCAGTGGAGAAGGCATGTAGCCAACTCCATTTAACCAAGCGTTAATCAATAGTTATATTCACGCAAAAATAAGTTACAGATATGTAATGAATGGAATAAGAATTGTACACATACACTCATTTAAAAACAGTCAAGGTTGATAGGTGAATAATTAACAAGGTCAAAATGTGACTCATATAGAATGAATAGATCGGCATGTCCGAAAGCTAGAATAAGATATATGGGCTTAATATATTAACCGACACTACATCTCAAATACAACACTGAGAACACCAACCGAATCACACTTGGTAGAGAAAGTCTGGAAGAGATTGAATTTATCACGTACCTAAAAAACCTAATATTCAGAGTATGCCAACCCAATCAAATTAGAAGTCAGGAGTGATGAGGTCCAAAAATATTTTCGAAAGGCAATTGATATACTTGGAAGCGTTTAACCTATGCTGACTAACGGTTGAAGGAAATGAGTGGCATGGTGTACTAATTCATGATATAGTGCGGATGCGTGGCCTAGCGCGTTCAGCCAGGTGTGTCCATCAAACCTAGCGAGGTCAGCACCAAATCTCAAAGACCTACTGAACTATTTAATCTGTAGATTTACTTAACGCTACAGACTCAAACTTTCCTATGTTCTATCATTACTGTAGACATGTCGAGCGCGTCTCATGGACGCAAAGCAAAAGACATAACCAACTCTTTCAAAAAGTCATTCACGCACAAGTACTTAGTCGTCAATATAAATAGCCCAACAAAGGTGGTCGAAAAAGTGCTTAAAATTCTTGATGAAGAACAATGCCGACCCTCCTAAAAATATTAAGCCTAGTTTTTTAAATAGTCTAATTCTATTATTAAACGCCTTAGACGCTATGAATGCAGTGGGGTTAAGCTATCTGCTTACAAACTCGATTTAAAGAACACCCTGTCATAAAGCTTGCGCTGTTGATTGTTATCTATTACCGTCTCTGATAAGTGAGTGCATTAGCCGAGACTTCAACTTACTTTATTTCAATTATCTTTTCCGGTCCTACCCATGCTACTCTACATGCCACTCAGTCATATAAAGTATCTTCCGGCTAGACGTGAATTACTACATGAAGAAACTGCATAACCATTATTAGGCAATTATCAACGAATAGTAGTTATTAGACGTTGTTTTAATTTTTTCATGCTGGCGGTCCACCGACCTCGCTAATTACAGGTGGGAATTCAAAATGCCCGCAGGCAAACCGTCTGGTCTGAAGACTGCTCGAAAACTTCGAGATCATCGCCGAACCCAGAGATGGTCGGATAAAGCATACAAAAAGGCTCATATTGGAACGAGATGGAAAGCGAATCCTTTCAAGGGTGCCTCACACGCTAAGGGTGTTGTACTAGAGAAGGTAAGTCACATTGTTCAAGACATTGTATCTTAGGTTGGTGTTGAAGCTAAACAACCAAATTCTGCCATCCGTAAATGTGTAAGGGTTCAGCTTTTAAAGAATGGAAAGAAAATCACCGCTTTCGTACCTAATGATGGGTGTTTAAATTTCATTGAGGAAAATGATGAAGTTCTTGTATCTGGTTTCGGACGAAAGGGGCACGCAGTCGGTGATATACCTGGTGTAAGGTTCAAGATTGTTAAGGTTGCAGGTGTATCACTTAAGGCTTTGTACACACATAAGAAGGAAAGACCCAGGGCTTAGTATTTTTCATAATATATTTTCGTTTTTGGATATGGATTGTTAATTACGAATAACATGTTGACACGGTTTTATTGTATAGTGACATCTTTTCTTCATCTACTGATGTGCCCGGTATCTGAACTTCACGTTCTAGTGCATTAAGTTACTACCCGTTTAAAATGCATAGTGGAATATATATTTTCGCGTTAGTCTGCCTGTATTTGAGTACTATCACTTGTTATTTATAAAAGATGCGTACCGGCGCTGTGGAGGTATAACTTGTCATTCCAATGTTAGTATGTTCTTACCACCAGTACATCAACGTGAAATAATATTGATTGATTCATCTAACTCCTGATTGTTTATTCAGAATCTCATTTGTTTCCATCAATTTCATCAAGATTGAAGTTGTGTTTTTTGCTTCATGTTATGTATTGTTCATTGCGATAATTAGCCTAACCAATGTGACCACTCTTTTGCTAGGTTATATCTGTTTAGAACTGGTTAAGTGTATGCTGATATCGTCATGACCAAATTCTCTAACTCAATACATACATTTTTTAAGCTTTGTGCCTCTTCATTATAAGAGAAACTTAGTCAAATGTCTTGCGAATAGAGCTCTTAAGATATGCTCAGTCGACACAATTGATAGGGAATTACAACACATTCATAATATTTCGATTGAATTGAGATATCCACTGGGTTTCTTGAAGAAACACTTGCGGGTACAAAACAAGAAAATAGTGACTGACGGTTAATAAGAAACCGCTTTTCTTGAAACTGCAATTCGATGGTGATTTAGCTAGCGATGTATTACGGGATAGATTGACTAGAGCAGTAAAGAGAATGTTTGATGCTACCAACCTCTGCCTATTGTATTCGACCCTATCGATGGTGATTCCTCAATTGAAGGATAAGTTACCTGGTTATGCCACTTCTATGTGTATCTACGAATCCAGCTGCTCCTGTGGAGTAAGCTATATTGGGCGCACTACCAGGCAACTGAACCAACGAGTTAGTGAACACCCTTCGTGGTTAGGAAAAGGTTACGTCAAAACAATACGCAGCTCGGTCCTATCACACTTGATCGATAGCAGTTATATAGCGGACAGAAACAAGTCGTTCGAAGTTATTTGTCGTATTGTTGTTATCAATGACTTATAAACTACCTTGATTGGTTTAATAATTTCGTATATGCATATAAATATTACTGTATATTAGACTAAAGCCTGATTAGGATCTAATCGAAAACAATATTGTTCGCTTATATATGTTCTAAATTTATCTGTATCCCACAAGAAGACAGTAGATCCAATTAATAGCAAATAGCTATCTGTAGTATTAAGTATCGGCTTACTGGAGTTGGTTGAAGAAAGTCGTAGATTGAGTTTGTCAACATGAATTCCTCAGACAGACGGTGACTTTCAAGCGTTCAAACGCTCGGAGTGCATTTAAAGTGCTAATTTGGAATAACTTGATGATGTGTATCATATTGTTGACTTCAAGTATATGTAGTCATCAGATTCGTGTTGGACAGTACAGTACTCCTGAAAAGACGATTCACTGTTATTCTAACAAGACTACAACTATTAGAAATGTTGACGTCATTCCGCAATTTATTTGTTAGAAAACGAGTGAAGAACCTGAAATGATATATATTTACTTGAATTATCATAATACTCTACCAGTTTCAGAATCAATTTAACTTCAATAAGCTAACATTTGCAAGCAGTATTCAATATGTTTCTGTTAAGTATGTAAGGTAAAGCATTTGGATACAGAATATTAATTGTTCAGCGATGTTATTTTCACAAGGATCGATACTAAAAGCTTGTAACAATAGTTAGTCGTAGATTCTAGACACCGGCCGAACGTCCAACTTCTTTACGCTATAAACCGACAGTTATATCTGAAAATTCGAGCGAGTATGTTGAAGGTGGTTTGAAGTTGCCGTAAGCCGACTCCTCAAAGATGTATTTATAAGCTAGTGGTAGAGATACATTAAATTTTCTTTTTTCTAAACCTTCACAGTTGTACTGTGTTATTAGTGAATAGTCCTAAGATGTTAAGGAGAGCGTTGTTTTTATGTTCTGATTTACCTGTAGCGAACAGTTCCTCAACTCAGACGGTAATAATTTATAGAATTGTGGGCTTTTCAACAAATGATAGATTTCCATTGCCTCTAAATTTTGAGTCACTTTCAGCTAAAAGTAATAAAAGATATGTTTATAGTATCTAAAGAGACAAAACATACACTATCCATAACGTATCTAGACTCGATGTTGTTTTCACAAGGTGAGATCCTCAAGTACTGAATCCTTCCAACGTTTCCTCGCTCAATCTGAAATATTTTTGGTGATTTATCAAAATAGCACTAATAAATGACATTACTGATCAAATATTGGCTAGTAAATCATTACATGATACATGCATTCAGTCTCACAATACCTCCGAAAAATATAGGAAGAGGGGCAGTAGTATTAAGGAAAGCTACGTCGAACTAGTTTCTGCTGGAATAGAAGTCGGTGGCGGTACAAGCTTGAGTAACTTCAACTAAAAACTGGCTATTTTTGCTGAACTGTTCCTCCTTTTATTTATGATAATCACCTTTTATCCCCTGAATTTTATCTTCTTCTGTGGCGCATATTTAGTTGTACTTTTATTATGCGCTTTCAATTAAATTCCCGTAAGCACTCATGAAGACATGACACCTGTGACAAGGTGGCTGTCTAATAGTATCGCATGTTTTGTTCATCTTTGGTTTTCAACGGATGTCTGTTTATAATTTTGTGCTTTGTAGTTGCTAACCAGATATAGAGGTTTAGTATATTTTACACCGTATGACCACAGCAAGAACTGCAGCTTTCATGTTTTCCTGTTGGTATTCATAATCAATAAGTACATGGTGGTGAAGTCATCCTCCTTTTAACAACGTAAACTAGAATAGGACGCTACCCATGTATGCATGTATTATGATTAGTTATTAATCTTTATGACTTGAGGCATGGAAATTTCACTATCGAAGTAGTAGCACAAGTATTTATATTAGTCATAACCAGTTGTCGCTTGTAGTTTGGTGCTTCATGGCTCAAACGAAATAAGGAATTAGGTATGGTGTAATTAGTCTCTCTGAATGAGTCTATTTCTTTTACTGCATGTTAAAGGACGGAAATAGAGTCAATCCACAAATCTTGAACGCTTGATATTTAGATAATGGGTAGGATTTCCGAATTATATTGTATTATTCATTGTAAATCTAGCCAGTTCTCAGCTGATGATATTAAATATATTATACTAAGCACATCTCTTTGTGATTAGTTCAAATTATGAGCATTATATTTAAGGTATTAGAAAATAATACAGACGAAACTGCTTCGTGGTGCTCACTCCTGTTAATTGATGAAGGGATATATTGGATTCATAATAGGTGGCTCAAACTGAGCAAAGCTTTTCCAAAGTTACTAAAATCTCATTAGTCATTAATCCGAAAGAATTAGTCCTTAGGATTGCATCGTTTCATTTAGTAAAACTAGTTGCTGATGAAGAATAGTAAGTTAGCCTTTTGCACGTTGAGGGAGAGAAGCCCATCGCACGTTCTTTGACTTCTCTCTCGGAGTTTAATGGATTCCGACTTTTTTTAGCTTCAAATAAAACTTGAGTCAGTGTGGGAGTCATTAAGCGGAAGACTAAGGTAAAATAGCAACATACAACCATATAATATTGATGACTAAAATCACTATGATCTGCAGATCCATATTTCAGTCCGAAAGTTAGTAAAATTCATGTCAATTGAGTTGTAAGAAATGAAAAGTTCTAACAACGATCTGGGCAGCTGGACTGTGAATATATTATTATTCCGAACTATGGCCCGTGTGTCCACCAGATAAGACTAGGATCTTATCGCTGTCGCATAGATTTCTCTGCTGGTTTGCCTATTCATCTTTACGTACGGATGTTCGCAGCATTTTAATACACTATATTGGGTTTTCAACCTAACATCGACATATTTGAGATCCATTGAGCACGATATCAGCTGTTTTGATGTGTAGTAGTAAAGTCTGGCAGAAAAGTACGCTGATTACTAAACATAGAATAGAATTTCTACCGGGATATGTCAAGACAATCGATGGGGACCGTCCACTGATGTAAAGTCCTTTTTAAAAGAAAGTACGTTTTTAATATCTAATAAACAGCCCAAACCTTTCCGACAGATGATTGTAAATCAGCAAGATTTTCAGTGAACTTGAACTTTGTAGACCATTTATTTTGGGATCCAATAACATCCAAATAAAATTCCTTGGGATCATTTAAGTGAATCAGTGGAGGTCTTATTTCTAAAGTATACTGAACCTTGGCTGACTGATTTCCAGGTTTGGTTTTTAGACGAATCTCCTTACGGGCTGTCACTAGAGTGAAATTAATGATACAATCAAATGTTATCTTATTCAAACGATGTTTGTTACTCGAAACAGTTCTTATCAGTAATAAGGAAAATAACTACATCATATGAGCAAGAGGATTATCAAAAAATGAAGTCATGTAATATCATATACATAGTATATTAGGCTGGTTTCGTATTTAATGAAATAGTGTTCCTGGTAGGATATCACGTAACTAGTCCACATAAAAACTGGCTTTGCGAAGTATGGCGTAACGATATTTCGAAATTATCACTAGAATAAGTAATAAATATTCGCACGACATTTGAGAACAGTAAGTTATTATCATCCGAAAAGTAGTTGTGGATTAACGGGTTACATATACCGGCTTACTCCGTGATGTTCTGACATAGCGAGAGACAAATGAACATCTTGAGCTCGCACTTATCCTTGATAACGCGATTTAAGAAGCAGTTCGAGTGTATGTATAACGGCTTTAACGGTGGGGTTGGTGCGCAGATGTAATCAGTTCATATATAGCAAAAACCATAGCATAGTGATTACTAAGAACTTTGTTGAATGATAACAATAATCATTTACTAGATTTACAAACAGGTGTAACAGTAGAAACTGAAGCGAGATGATAAGCCGTGTGCATTGCTTTTTGCTTAAAAAGAGACTAGGGGACATAAATGTATCAGTAAACAGCAGATCTTTCCACAAAACAGCTGAAGTCTTCCTAACTTCATAACGATCGTAATGTGTATCTACCAAATAGTAGATCTCGAAGTGATTTATTGTAGAGGGGCTCATAAATATGACTCCTACCTGAAGATGAGGAAGTTTCTGAAAGAGTATTAATTGAAATTTATTCAGAATATTGAATTTTATAACGTGCCGAAGAAAATCTTAGCACACGAATTAAAAAAACTCATAAATCCGACGGGGTATAAATTATATTATGTATGGTAATAAATTTATCTTCAAACTATCTAAATATCAGTTGCAGTAATCTAAACTAAACCGAAGATGTTATTGTATAATCCAGGACAACAATAATATCCTGTTAATCGAACAGTGGGGAAATGCTTAATCATAGAAACGAAGATGGATGAATATGGAGATTTATGGTTTAAATGAACTTCTACGTAATGAACAGAACTTTTGATGATTAGGAGCAAGTGGGCTTTCTTATTACAATAACTATATGCTGATTGACGTAACAGTAATAAAATCTATGATAACTAAAAAATAGTATGCATCTAACTGATTACCTTCAGGTTTATGTTTGATAAAACATCTCTTCAAAAATATTCTCTCTAATTCCATTGTCGAGTAAAATATTAAGATGTGATTTGGTTCACAATTACGAACTGATTAAGGTCATTTGATAGAACCAATCACAGCCATCATACTTAAACTGAAATAATTAAAATTTTGTTTTATAAGTGCAATTAACTTTTCGATTTGTTTAAAAAAGTGGATCTACACTACGTTGGGTGATAAAAATGACACACAGATAAAAGGTTGGTGCTAGAGATAAAACTGATACATTCTAAAATATGAGACTTTATATATCTACAGTACGTATGAAATAGATAATTATGTGTCTAACTTGGGAATACAGTTTTCGAGTCTGCAGGAAATGTCAACTTACTTAAAGAAAGACAACGATTAACAAGGTTATTTAACATTTTGATCATTTAAGTGACGATGATCAGTGAAGCTATAGGACGGAATTGGCCTTGATTGTTAAGTATCTTGTTAATTTACATAGTAGTGGAATCAATCTATAGTTAATATAGTCAGTCACCCTAAACAGCGAGTGTCCGTGATCATTCTAGAATACTTTAAACTAGAACTTTATGCAAAATAGAGAAGAAAAATTTATGGTGAAGGAGATACACTTACAAAACACTTAGTTGGATTCCACTTTTAATAATGTTATTAAACTTACCGGAGAACAAGTTATCTGAATCTAGCGTGTTACTTTTAACCAATTCATTTCAACAATTTGTCTAACTGATATGTTTATACTGGGTAACTATGTATTTAAGACCAAAACTACCTTATGAATGAACAAGATTGTTTCTACTGACTTATCATTAGATGGAGAACTATAAATTAACTATCGAACATATTCAGTACTTTTGCGACTAGCTCTAAAAACATCATAGTCACTTGTCTAAAACCTAATAATCCACTTAACTGAACTCCTTCAACTCGGCGCGATCATCATTCAATATCAAGGGTGAGAAATCGACCTCTTTTGAGATTAAGTTAATCTATTTACTTATCTCTATTCCCGTATGGAATAATCAAAATTACTATACCAAATTATCTACTCATATTCAACTGAAAATCGAACAAAGCTAAAGCTAGAAAAATATCTATATAAAAATAGACATATCCAATACATTTTATTACATACTTGCGACTTTGTACACATACAGTGACAGAAACACACATAAGTTACTCATACTCTATCATGATTTCTGTCAATGGAGACGATAAAAATTTTGTTCAATTAATTATTCTAATACCTTAAACTATACATAGTCAATGTAAAATTGAACTTTATCAAGAAGTAAACAAGGATGTTTTACTAAAATTAAATATACAAATGAATATACATGAGCAGGAGGTGTTTCAACGTAGTAACAGTAATATACAAACAATAAAGGAATAATCTATTTTTGAAAAACCTAAGCATTCAGATAGATTTATAAGAATGGCATCCATCCTTTGTACATTTGACAGAGTCGGTCAACATCGGTAGCTTCTTTAATTAAAGTATCCACCTACAAGGTAAAATAAGTATATTAAAATTCAGAAACTATGCATATATATATATATATATATATATTGAAAGAAGACTAGGTAGTGTCCAAATCGAAGTAAATTATTGGTTCTAGAAGCTAGTGATTGTTAGGAAGACTACGGTTGCATAGACGACTTAAGATACCTAAAGAACTTAATGATTCCTGAGTGCTTCAGCTATCAATTTAGTTTTAAATATAAATTCAGTGAGGTATGAGAGGTAATACGGGATCATGGTTAACACAAAAAACAGAAATATCGGGAGACATTCCAGAAGATTTTGTTAACATTACTATCTAAATAGGAGACAAAAAGAAGGTATATAACGATTATGTCTGAGGTCTTGAGCAATACCTGACAGCGCATTAAAGAAATAAGTCATAAATTGTTCATGACCTTAGTCAACGGGATAAAAGAAGTACTACTTTCAACAATGTACCATTAAAGATGACCATAGTCAGCTTTCCTAAAGCAATATGCACAGTGTTGGTGCTCATTAGACGAATCTATAAACAAGAATAACCGAATGAAAGAGTGAGTTCTGTGCATTAATACGTCATCACACGATAAAACGATGTAATGAATATACTTATGATTAAGAAGTCTATTTGGATCATATATATAAAATACTATCACGGATTAATTATTAGAGCTGTTGACATAATTCAATCAACAACAGCATAAAATAAAGATTATGAAGTTGGAAAATCCACAGTAACTTATGATATCATAAATCATTGATTAAACCCGTGTTTCAATAAAAAAATTCTAGAATGACAAACATCTTGACTTGAAAATATCGTTTAGTAGACACGTCAATAACCCTAAATTTTAGTCTTTGTGCTTGTTATCGTCCACGATTGAGATGTATATGAGCCTTATATGAAGCATATGCCTCCTTGTTTTTAAAGAAAGATATGAATGTGAATACCGAAAAACTCAGCAAAATGTTGGGGTCTTCATATTAATTGCCAACAACTATTTAATGATGGGTAGAATTCACAGTGAAAATCAGTGACTAAGCTATCCAACTTGGTCGCTTTGTTTAGGTATAGGCGTTGAGCATAAAAACAATACACTCGGACAATATCACATGGTGACTGGATTTGTAAAAATGAAATACTCTAATTTTTATAACACATGTACTCAGAAGCATCTAAGCTATAAATAATCAAAAATAACCACATATAAATAAAATAGAGCTATATCTCTTATGATAAGTTTAACTGTGAAGATGTATTCATAAGCGAATTCATTTTATGTCCACAAAACCCTTTCTAATCAAATGGATCAAAAGTATAGTTCATTTAGTTTGTGAACTTACTTGTCCTTCAACAGACATAGGTAAAATCTGGCTGAATCCATCATGTTCTGTAATTTTACCTTTAAGACGATCTTCCATACGTGCTAATTTTTCTGTAGCTGCCCTGGTAGCACGTTCTGTCAAGTCCAAGTCGGATGATGCGTTTCCATCTGATGTAGAACCACCACGGCGATTTCGTCCAGCTATAAAAAGAATTGTAAACATAACAGTTATTTTTACCTATATGGTCTTGTCAAAATTTTGTCATTTCTGAGTCTTTTTTTAGCAATCAGTTAGTGAAAACTAGGTAGCACTGGATAAAGGTCTTGTTCCAGTTAACGATTCTTCAGTTGAGTAGGATCATGATCACACACAGTAAATACTTTTAAAATTGCATTTAATCTTCGGTTCACAGTCGTCATAAAATGTGTTGGGATACTCAGAAGAATATCCCAGAAACAATTATCCGGTTAAGTCTAATGCTACCCTTGAACGTTAAATGGTGTCATTTCCCTATTGGTCGTTTCCCTACTGATCAATATTTATTTCGCGTGTCATTTTCCTATTGGTCAATATTATTTAACGTGTCATCTTTCTGTTGGTCAATATTTATAGTAATCCTAACTGTATAAATATGCATTTGTTTGTAAATCATTATTCTGCTGCTCCTGACCCCATAAACGATTTTTCATCTACGGTTCGTGTTCTGATATATTGGAGATTGGGAACAGTATTGGGGTCGAACTGGGATATCTGAAGCTTGTCAATTGGTAGAATTTAGAGTAGCCAACTCGCGATTCACAATAAATTTGGCGACGGAGATTTAGCAACAAGTTGGTGATTAACTATGGATCCAGCCAAATTAGAGAAATTGTTCGAACAGCAGCTGAAGCTGATGGAGATGCTTACTCAGACGCACATATCTTCTCGAGTCCCAACTGCACCGACAATTCCTGAATCAGTTGATGGTATTACCAGTGGTATTTCAGAATTTCTTTATGATCCTGATGCCAACATTACATTTGATACCTGGTTCAGACGTTATGAAGACCTTTTCAAAGTTGACTTTGTTGACAGAGATGATTCGTGGAAGGTGCGTCTTCTTCTCCGTAAACTTGGTCCATCCGAGCTGGATAAGTATTGCAACTTCATTCTACCACAGAACCCACGCGACCGTTCATTCGACGCCACTATTCAGTCCCTTAGCCAACTTTTTGGTGATCATCACTCACTCTTCAGTACCCGATATCGCTGCTTAAAACTGGTCATGAATGAATCTGATGACTTCCTGACCCACGTCGGCGTTGTTAACCGTGAGTGCGAACGGTTCAAGCTCAGATCCCTCACTGAAGACCAATTCAAGTCCCTAATACTCATATGCAGTCTTCAGTCACCCAAATTCTCCGACATCAGAACTCGGTTGCTCAACCGCCTTGAACAAGATCCAACACTGACACTTAATGCGATCATAGACGAATACCAGCGTATCATCAATCTGCAGCGTGACACCACTTTGGTTCAATCTGGGGGCCAGGGTGGTTCCGAAGTTCATGCTGTTCAGCACCAGAAAAAATCTTCGAGATCGACAAACTCGAGTCCTTCGAACGCCAGCGCTGTTTCTATCTCTAATCACTCTAAACCGGTTCAGAAGAAACCCCCCTCGCCATGTTGGCACTGTGGAGCCTGGCATTATGTGAAGTTCTGTCCATTCAAACAGCATGTGTGCGATCGCTGTCAGAAAGTTGGTCACAAAAGCGGCTTTTGCAAATCCAACCGATTCAATAACCGTCGAAATGCACAGACGCAGCGTCGTTTTCACAAAAAGCCGATTACCTCATCAAGGAGTTTAGCAGCAGTCTTCCATACTCATGCCGCGACTCGACGCAAATTTCTGACCCTCTCAATCAATGGTCAGCCTGTTCGTTTGCAGTTGGACACTGCATCAGATATCACCATTTTGTCGAAAAAGACTTGGCGAACCTTGGGTCAACCTCCCATCAAACCATCCTCTCAAACAGCCGTCAGTGCTTGTGGGGGTCATCTCCGCCTTCATGGTGAACTCTGTTGCTGTATTTCATTCAGAGGTACAACCTTCAATGGGACATGTTACATCACCGATTCTCCGCTCAACCTTTTAGGTTTAGATTGGTTCGAAGAACTTGGTCTCGCTGATCTTCCTATTAGCGCTGTCTGCAATCAAGTCCAAACTACTGCTTCTACACAACAGCATACTGAAGACCTCCGAAAACGATTTATTGAATTATTTAAGCCTGGTCTCGGACT